CCCCAAAACCCCAAAACCCCAAAACCCCAAAACCCCGCTTGTCTTCTTCCATTGAAAATATTATTATTAATGGAGAAAAGTGGCAGAAAAGATAGCCGTGTGAGTAATCAGGGTTCCCACTCGGAGTCACACGCTATGTCTACAGAAGATACAACACACTGACTCCTTTGTCTTGAAGAGTTGGATATGATGGCAATGGGGCCTTGTAGTCATAAGAATGTCTGCGTAACCTGTATGTTGAGGCTGAGATTAATACTGAAGGATACGGCATGTCCCATTTGTAAAGAAAATTTGGAAAGTATCTGTATTATTGATGACCCATCCCTCTCTTATGATGATATAAAAGAAATGGAAGAAGACTTACTAAGAGATAGGGATGACCCTACCGTTTTCTACCTTAACGAAAAATGACAAAATGAAGGGGAAAACCCCAGAAAACTAATTTGCAGAATCGGAAAATGCAGACACAACAAAGAATTCAGCAATATTAATGGACTAAAGAGGCATCTTGAAAGAGAACACAAGAGATGCTTCTGTGAGATCTGTATGAAGCATAGAATTGTCTTCTTACAAGACCAGAAAACATACTTATTCAAGAAGCTAGTTGACCATATCGAGCATGGAGACCCTGGGGATGCTCATTGCCCTCAAATTCTCCCGCATCCATACTGTAACTTCTGTAAGAGACATTTCTTCAACGAGGTGATGCTTCAAGAGCATTTGTTCAAGGAGCACATGACATGTCCCGTCTGTGGGGATGATTACAAGAATTGGTACTACGTAGACTACGCCTCATTGGAGAGACACTTTGACAAGACGCACTATTTATGCAAAAACAAAGGCTGCCTCAAATAGCCTGTTTGTCGCGTTCAGGACAGAGGAAGAGCTGTCTCAACACAATTTCATGCTTCATCAGAGAGGAGGTGTTGACAAGAAGAAGCATGAAGAAGCAAATCTACTGGGCTTCAAGACTGGAGGCAAAGCAGACTCAAAAGCTGAAGAAATCAAGTTCAAAGATGATGAAGCCATGGATTTTGAATGGTACTTTTCGGCGAATTACAAGGTTAAAGACCCTAGGCAAGGTAAGCATAACTTTACTCAAATTATTCTAGAAAAACGCAGAGAACAGCAAGAGGCTAAGGAGAACAGAGAAAGCAGGGATAGAAATAGAAGAAATAACAAGAAACACGAAAATAGAAAGGAAGAGGAAACTCCTGGAAAACCCAGCCAAAAAGCTATTGGAAATCTTCCCTCTGACGAAGACAAAGTTGATAAGGTCCTAAAGGCGCTCCGCAAGTTTGTATCAAGTAAGTCTAAATATCATAATACTCAGCTATTGCCAGTCAAAACGAAGATAGCATCCCTGATAGCATTAGATTGGAAACTAAGACCAAAATGAAACATTTGTATAAGGTTATCGGAAGAATGACCCCAGCCAAAATAATGAACTACGAGTTCCTGACCAACTTCGGTGTATCAATTAAAAGCAAGACAAATCTCAAGAAAGCAGTAGATTATGCACTTAACTATGCTGAGTTTAAGAAATATCTCGGTTAGTCGAAATTCCTGAACTTATAGACAACATTCCATTTAGAGAGGTCTTGATGATTCATAAATATTTCACATTTGCAGACAAAAAGATCAAGGTCATCATGTATAAAGAACAGATAGATAAGGTCAGCGATGATTTGCTAAATGAAGTTAACGAAAAACCTGAAAAAGTTAGCAAAACTGAAGTCCAAGCTAAAAAGAAAAGAGATGGAAATAAGGTAGTCAGAGCGAATAAGAAAGTTGACAAGCTCAAAGATGGTAACAGCTTTGTTTCTATTTGTTCTAGAATTTAAAGATAACCTGAAAAATGGCATTACGGAGGAGGAATTCCCAGCTCTTGGAGGCCCACCTGCTCCAAAGCAAAAATCACCTCCAAAGAAGAGTCCAGGCAAAGCTCCTACAGAAGAGGTGAAAACAGCACCATCCGAGCCAACAATTGGTGAATTAGAACAAGAAATGAAACAAAACAATGAATTAATTAAAAGACACAAATTGAATCCAAACAAGCCAAACAACAAAAAGTAAATAACCTATCTAAAATCTCAGGAAAAAGAGCAAAAAGCCAACCAAAATGAAGATGGCCAAGGAAGAATTCCCAGGCCTCCCCGGAAGCTAATCTCCCCCCTCCACTCCTTTACAATCACCTCCGCTCCAACCCACCTCCCTCAGCTAAACATGTAATAGGATTTACTAAAATTACGTTCCAACTCAATTCTCCCCCATTACCCAGGGGTTTTGGGGTTTTGGGGTTTTGGGGTTTTGGGGTTTTGGGGTTTTGGGGTTTTGGGG